CTCTTTTTGGTAGCCTTCATGCATTGACTTCCATGTTTCTGAGTCATGTATAGTGATATTTCTTGTTTCATTGATTTAAATGTTATCTGGGTACTTTTTGTTTTGATAGATGAAGTGTTCTTTTGCCCTTATCCTTCTCCACACCCCACCCATTCTCCAAGGAGAGTTAAAGCTCAAGTTTTTATTCAATCACTTACCACTGTTTATATCATGATGTCTCTAAAACCATTGTTTTCTTCTGAGCCTAGTAGCATACTTCATTTTTTTTTAATGTAACTTTTCGTTTTTCCTAGAATTAACGATTGCCCTCCTTTTTTTTTTCTTTTTTTTTTTTTTTTTTGCGGCACGCGGGCCTCTCACTGCTGTGGTCTCTCCCGTTGCGGAGCACAGGCTCCGGACGCGCAGGCTCAGCGGCCATGGCTCACGGGCCCAGCCGCTCCGCGGCATGTGGGATCTTCCCGGACCAGGGCACGAACCCACGTCCCCTGCATCGGCAGGCGGACTCTCAACCACTGCGCCACCAGGGAAGCCCAGCCCTACTTTTTACTTGCTTTGTCTTCCATCTTCATAGACTCCTTTTTTTCCAGGTGATTCCAAAGATCTGCCATGTACCTACCGTTCGCTTTTTTTTTTCCACCAGTGATGTGTTTTGTCAGGTCATGTGTCTGGGCCCCTCTTTGTGGAAGCCCCGTCCCTCTTCTCCTGACAGACCCAGTGGGATGCCCAGTGGACATCTGGGATCTCTCCTGGGTTCAAGCTTCTGTGTCCCACACTTTTTTTTTTTTTCCTCATCTACTATATGAGATACATACTCCAGTATCTTCCTAGAGCAGGATTCACAGAAAATAAATTTCCCAAGCCTTCACGGGTGTGAAGCTTGGCTGGGTATGAGATACAGTTGGTCTATTTCCCGTCAGCATTTTGAAGCCATCGCTCCATTGATTCTTAGCATATGGTGTTCCATAGAGAAGTTGAGTCCCACTCGTTACGTGTTCTGGTTTTCTGTCCACGTGCTTCGTGGGTCATCTCTGTAATCTTGGGTCTGGTCTCCACGTTCATTTGCTGGGCAGTGGGCGAGCCATTTCACTCGAAATGAATTAAGTGCTTGACTTCTCATTGTTTCTTTCCTTATCTCCTCCGCCATGTCCTCTCTGTCCTTCTGGAACCCTTGTTGGTTAGCAGTTGGACGGCCTGGATGGGCAGATCCTGCTGGAGGGTGAGAGGCAGAAGGCCCCCTGTTTGTGGGGGACCCCAGATGTGAGTGCAGGGGGAACTTCGCTCTGGGGCAGAAACCCTGCAGTTTCCTCTGGGGTGAGGCTGGGGCAGAAGCTGGGTCCCCCATGAGCGTGCCGGCTGTCGTTTGGCCCCCTGCCCAGTTCTTCGTGTCTCTGAGCCATGAGCGCCTCCAGAGAACACACATCTGGTTTCTTCCTGGGCAGGGAGCTGCCTGGACGTGGACAGTCGGTCGTCTGGGGGGTCTTCTGCCCCCGCCACACCTGCCCTCTGCTCACTTTCGATCAGTGCCCTCGCTCCCCTTTCAGTGGCCAGGAAAGCTGCCCTGTTTGCTGATGTGCCTAACGGGCAAGGGGGGGCAGAGCAAGTGAGACGGGAGCAGGCGTGCTGAACAGAGGGTGGCCGGGGCACAGGCCTGTGGCCACGGGTGCCTGCTGTGTCAGGACAGCGGAGCAGGCAAGGGCCGGGGTGGACCAGCAAGCGGAGCTGGGGGTCAGGCGCATGCGCTCCTGAGGAGGCCACCCAAGGTCAGGGGTGCGCACCCACAGGGGCTCCCGTGCCGTCCAGGCAGGAGCGGGGCTGGGGCTGGGCAGTGACCGGGGGCCGCTGGCCCCTCACACAGGGTCTAGGGTCTGCCTGGACCCTTAGTCTCCACAGGCCGTGTTGGGAGGACAGAATCGGGGGCCCAGGGCCTGGCAACGTCCTGAACAGAGAAGGCTCAGCACGCCCCATCCGAACACCACCGCCCCGGTCACCACGGGCGAGCCCCTGCTCCTGTCCAGCCAGGCCAGCACCCAGGGACGCAGCGATGAGCAAGGCCGTCCCACTCAGCACCCATGTGGTGCACAGGGGAGCCGCGGGGGTCAGCGTGAGCCCAGGGGCCCAGGGGGCTCAGTCGGCTCTGGCTCCGGCACGCCGCAGGAGGGCTAGCGGCCCCGTCCCCCTCTCAAGGGTGCATTGAGATCCGTGAGGGTCTCGGGGGCAGCTGGGCTTCTCCAAGCCTGCCCTCGTGGTGGGTGGTGACAAGTGCTGACGCAGGGCTCCAGGCCTACGCGACTGCAGAGGCCTGTGGGGACACGGACGCTGGGGCGGGCGCTGGTGCCCCGCTGTGCACCGTGAGTTCTTGCCATCAGAGGTCACCTTGCAACCAGGTTGAACCCCGAGTGGCTTCGGTGGGGCCACGTAGACAAATCTTTGTCCGCTGACACGTCATACTCTGGTTTTCTGTGTCCAGGAGAATCCACCACGCTGGCCTGCCCGTGTGCACACGGGGTGGGGAGGGCCGAGGACGAGACAAGGGACCAGCCGGGCTCAGCAGTGGACACGGTGTGTGCCAGCAGCCTGCACGCAGCACTGTGTTTGTCCACGTGCGTTTCTAGGTGTATCTCTGTGTCTGCCTGTCTGTCGTGGCCTCTTTAGAAGCAGTTGTCGTGGTCAGGATTTATAAATGTCATACACTAGGTCTCTAGAAGGCTGGCCCTGGGATGAACTGACCTCCTCGTCCTGGCTGTGTTGAAGGTCTTTGTCACCCGTGCCAGTCCACCTAACCAGGGTCTGCAGAGAGGGGCCTGGTCTCCGGCCCTACCCCAGTGCTGAAGCCACTGGGGGCCTCCAGGTAGCTGCCTAACCTCTCAAGGCTTGATTTCCTCCACCGGGGGCTGAAGGTGCTGTGTGAGGGGCCTGCCCCGAGGCACCTTCTGTCTTGGACCATCTGGCCCCTCCCAGTCTTGTCCCCAGAGAGGCACCACGGCCCTGCTTGGCGCGCACACAGGAACCAGCTCCCCGCCGCCCCCTCCCTACCGCAGGGTGAGCTGAGAGGTCAGTGGAAAGTTACCACTGTGACAGAAGCCCAAGAGGGAGCGGTGTCTGCAGGACGAGGCTTCCCTGGGAAGTGGTTCTGGCTGAGGTCTAGGGTATGAGTCAGAGTCAGCTGATGAAATAGAGGGAGGACAGAGTTCGTGCAAAGGCCCTGGGGTGTCTTCTTGGGAGCCAGCAAGCGGGGGCGGGGGGGGAGCGGTCCCAGTGGTCAGAGAGGAGCTGGGAGGGCACAGGTGCGCCTTTGTTCTTCTCCCAGGGGCAGCCAGAGCCACCAGGGCACATTCCACAGGAACTGGGGGAGGGGGTCACATCGGGGCTGCCAGCCAACCCCACCCCACCCCAGGGGCTGGGACATGACCGCCTGCAGAGGCCAGGAGCGCGCTGTCAGCACCTGGGCTGGGGCAGGGCGCATGAGAGCTGACGGGGGCCCGAGGCACAAACGGGAGAGCCCAGGCTTCGCGGAGGGCGCAGGAGTCAGGATGCCCATCCTGCTGTCTCCTCCCTGCGGACTCCCTCCCCCAGCCCCCTGGGTGCCCTCTGCCCAGGCCTTCTCCCACTGTCTGCCATTCCTGCGGTTTTCTGAATGTGCCCCCCTAAGGCTGGGGTGACCCCCGGTGGTACCCCGTCACCTTCGCCCTTGCTAGTTATCATGCCCGCACCCCAGGGCCCCCTTGCCCCCTGGGAGATGCGGTCAGATCAGGGCACTGCCAGACCCTGCGACGTGTCTTGTGCCCCCGTGGCTTCCCAGAGGGCAGTGTGAGGGCTGCTCTTGTTGGGCCTCAGTGAGGAGGGGGCAATGTGGGTGCAGCTTCCATGTTGCCATCAGGCAGGGGCCGGGGAAGGGGGGATGGACCCCCCCAGGAGTGGTGTGTGGGGACCCAGTGGGCCCCTGCTGCCCACTTCCGAGGACACTCTAGGCTGCTCGCCCCAGGCCCTGGTTCCCCTTGGCCTGGGACCTGCCCCACCTGCACAGGCAGCTGCTCTGCCAGCCCTGGAGGTGGGGCTCCGAGAAGAGCCGCAAACCCCCCCTGGGGCGACCCACACCCACCAGGCCCGTCACAGTTCCTGGCACTGGGGCCGATCATCACAGCACACCCTGCAGGGACCTGAATCATCCCGGCTGCCTCTCACCCCGAGGGAGCAAGGAGAAGGGGGCACAGCCCTCCTTGAGTCAGCTCTCCCATGGTACGGATGGATGCCCCTTACCCACAGCGTGGGGAGGTGGCATTGGTGCCCAACTCCTTGGGGGTTGGAACAGTTCCTGGGAGACGATAAAAATTATATGAGTTATGGCTCACCCCGGGGGCTGGGTGGTCTCCTGGTGCCCCTCCCCCACTGGAGCTCTGCAGGAGCCTGGGGTGGAGTGGGCCCAGTGGGAGGCCCTGGCTCAGACCTGCCGTGCAGCCTGGGACTGTGAGTGACTTTTCAGTGGCCCCTTGGGCTGCACCAAGCCTGCCACTGTGACAGCTCTTTAAACGTCTGGTACCAGGTAGTGTGGACTCTGGGGCCACTCTCCTCCACCCCCTGCAGGGCAAAGTCAGGTTGCCCCTCCCAAGATGCGAGCAGACAGGAGGGCATGCCTGGGGCTCGGGGGAAGGCCCCAGAGGAGACCCTGGGCCAGGGTTCAGGAGGGCACCAGGGCTGGGCCCTGCAGGACACTGCAGCGGTCACACTCGTTATTGTGGTGGTGGCCTGAGACCTTTGCAGGTTACATCACATCTCACACCCGGGTTTCTCATTCAGCAGTGGCCCTTTGGAGACCTGAGATGTGATGGCTGATCTCAGAGGTGAATCCACTCCCCGGGGGTCCCATAGCGTAGGCGCTGAGCAGCACCATCCGACTCAGGGCTGCAGCCTCCCCTCTCCTTCACCCCCCAGTGGTCCCTACATGCCCCACCCCTGCCTGACGCCCCGGCCTCACCTTCCCCCCGCTCCCCGTCTCGTTGCAGGAAGTTCTACTACATCACCCTGCTGCGAGACCCCGTGTCCCGCTACCTGAGCGAGTGGCGGCATGTGCAGCGGGGGGCCACGTGGAAGACATCGCTGCACATGTGCGACGGGCGCACGCCCACGCCCGAGGAGCTGCCGCCCTGCTACGAGGGCACGGACTGGTCGGGCTGCACGCTGCAGGAGTTCATGGACTGCCCCTACAACCTGGCCAGCAACCGCCAGGTGCGCATGCTGGCCGACCTGAGCCTGGTGGGCTGCTACAACCTGTCCTTCATCCCCGAGGGCAAGCGGGCCCAGCTGCTGCTGGACAGCGCCAAGAAGAACCTGCGGGGCATGGCCTTCTTCGGCCTGACCGAGTTCCAGCGCAAGACGCAGTACCTGTTCGAGCGGACGTTCAACCTCAAGTTCATCCGTCCCTTCATGCAGTACAACAGCACGCGGGCGGGCGGCGTGGAGGTGGGCGAGGACACCATCCGGCGCATCGAGGAGCTCAACGACCTGGACGTGCAGCTCTACGACTACGCCAGGGACCTCTTCCAGCAGCGCTACCAGTACAGGCGGCAGCTGGAGCGCCGGCAGCAGCGCCTCCGGAGCCGCGAGGAGCGCCTGCTGCACAGGGCCAAGGAGGCGCCGCCGCGGGGGGACGCCGAGGAGCCCGGCCGCGTGCCCACCGAGGACTACATGAGCCACATCATCGAGAAGTGGTAGTGGCGGCCGGCGGGGGCAGGTGGGACCAGGCAGACTGACCAACACACTCGGCCCCCAGAACTCCGTGGGAAGAGGACCCCCGTCCGCTTGCCAGAAGACGGACGGACGGTTGAGGGAGGGGAAGGGGTGGGCCTGGTGGGTCGGTTCTTCCCACCCTCCCAGGCCGGGGCTCTGAGAAATCAACGTGGGAACCCACTGGGTCAGAGGGAAGGGTGCTTGGAGGACACCCCCGACCAGGCCTGCAGGGCTGGGAGCAGGTACGTCCCCGCTCTCCCGTCCTCCTGGTCACAACGGCCACAGGTTTGAAGACTAGAAAAATCCAGTGCAGCGGAAGGCGGACCTGCCAGGCCAGGTGTGTGGTCACGCCCACCAGGCACACGCCTGCTCCCCCCCCCCCCCCCACCCCACCCTGCAGGTAGCTCAGCCTCCAGGGAACCCCTGGCCCCAAGGCCTGCGTGGAGACACGGCAGCCCTCTGAGGTAGCCTCAGGAATGGAGCTCCCAGCTCACCCATCTTCAGGGTCAGGGCCCACCCCATCTAAAGCCAAGAAGACTCTAGTCCAGCCCCTGGGAAGCCCACTCCCCTCTCTAGCCCAAGGTCAAAACCCACAGTGTGGCTTCATGCTTCGGGTCAAGAGATCAAAGCACATCACCTGGGGTCCCCCACCCTGTTTTCCTCAGTCCCCAGACCAAGGGGCGCTGTGGGGAGATGGTCCCCATGCTGCACTGACCCCTTGCATGGGCGGAGGGCATCCCCGGAGTAGGAAGGCCATAGGTGAGGATGCTTCCACCTGTGTCCAGGCAGACCTCCCAGCCAGACCAGCTCAGACAGGAAGGGGGACAGAAATCAAGAGCTCTCCCTGCCCGCATTTTCCTTTCTGACCCTCTGGGCTTTGTTAGTGGGCTGCCCCCAGCCCCAAGCCCATGACTTGGACATTTATGTGGGACTTAGACCCAATTCCCCCCACATCCCCGTGTATAAAGTTCAGTCAAGCCTCCGTTGGCTGGAACTCTGCAGGCCACAGCCACTGCCCACGAGCCATACTTTGGGGCCACGGTGGTTCAGGACAGCCAGGAAAGGGTACTCGGGCTTTCAGATTCTCCTCCAGGATTGGAAGAAACAGCTCTGGGTGGCTCCCCTAGTACCCAGATACACAGCCCCCCGACCCTGGGCTCTCCCCGTGTTTTCCTGCACCCTTGCCCCTACCAGCTGGTCAGGCCTGTTCCCCGCAGCCCTGCAGATTGGAGAAGCCATGTTCAGTCCACTGTAGACACTTGCCCCACGCCCATCCCTCCTGTGCTCGAGGAGGCCAGGCCAGCGTCGCCTCTGGACGTGCACCCCCCTCCCCCCGACATGAGGCCCGAGACCTGGTTCTGGGGAGCTGAGTGTGAGCCCCATGCCCGAGGTGGATGGGCACCCCGTCTCCCCAGGAGAGGAAGCACACGTGCCCGGCAGCTGCAGGCCAGACTCGAGGGTGGTGAGGGCCCCGGGCCCCCGGCAGCCTCATGGGCAGATCCTGCCAGGGTTCCCTGCCCCAGGTTCCCCTTGGCCACCCGAGCTGCCCTCCTGTGGAATGAGGGGGTCGGAGCCGAGACCCTTCCGTAAGCACCGGAAGGGTTAGGTGGCTACCCAGGAGCCAACAGCTTTAGTCTTTGCCTGTCTGGCCTGAGCCGCCCCCCCTCACCCCCCCCGCCCGCCCGCCAGCTTCCTGCGCTGGCCGCTTCATCTTGCAGTCCAAGGACAGCGCAGTCAACAGGCCCCTGAGAGCTGACACATCGTGCTAAGGAGGTGAGTGCTCAGGCAGCTCTTTGAAAGGGGTGTGAAGGTCAGCATGGGGGTCTGCTCCAGTACTCATTTGGGGCGGGCGCGCTCCAGGGAGGAGGGCGGGACACGTTCACGAGAGCTCTGGGGTCTTGCACAAGCACCCGCGACGCTAGGGGCTTGCTGTGGCCTCCCACCGGGAGGAGAGCTGTTGTACGTGAGCCCCCCGGGCACCCGGCCAGCGGCCTGGCTCGAGCAGCCCTCCCCAAGGTGCGTTCCTGAGGGTGTGGCCCGAGTGCAGGATGTGTTTTGTACATAATGGAGTGTTTTAACTCATGGCCCGTTGTCCCAAGTCACACGGTCTCCTCGGTTTCTTCACTGCATCTGGAAGGAGGTCCTGGCTCCGGCCAGCATCCAGGCAGGGGTGCTAGTGACAGCACCAGCTGGCAGTGCCCCTCGGCCGCTTGAGTCTCCCGTCCAGCACTGCCGGCTCAGGACGCCTGCTTTGAGGTAAAGGCTTCTTGTGCCTGCAGCGTCTCCTCCAACACCACCGGCTGGGGCTCCAGGGAAGGGATGGCCTCCCCAGGGCTCTTCCCAGGGCTGAGGGACAGAAGCAAACATGCAGTGAGCGAGCAGCTCCCCGCTCCCACCACCCCAGGCCTTCGATGTCCTCTCTCGGAGGAGGCGTGAGGGACGAGAGAACTGTCCAAGCAATGAGTCTGTGAACGTTTTGGGAACTGGAAGAGTTTAACTTGAACCCAGGAGCGTTTAAAGCTTTATTTATTTATAGCTTCTTATTAAAAAAAAAAAAAAAGTGTTGAGAAGAAACCTTTTGGTGACTCATACAAAAAAATGAGTTGATGATGGAAACGCAAGTCATAATCATCTAATTGTTTTTGTCTAGGTCAAGATGAATGTTAGCAGATGAAATAAACCCTGAAAAGGAGCGCTGGTGTGTGTGGTCTGTGGTCACATAGCAACGCGCCTGGCATGGCACCATCCCGGTTTGATTTTCGAAATGAGCATCTGTGAGCTCACAGGAATCACACAGGAGCAGACGGGCTTCCCTCAGGAGCAGGCGGCAGCCCAGTAAGAGAGGAGTTAACACACTGTGTCACTAAAGCCTTGCTTTGTGAAAGTAAGAAATGTGACTGTCATCACCGCAAAGAATAACTTAGGGACTTCCCTGACGGTCCAGTGGTTAGGACTCTGCACTTTCACTGCCGAGGGCCCAGAATCCATCCCTGGTCAGGGAACCAAGATCCCACAAGCCGCGCGGCGTGACCAAAAAAAGAATAACTTATCAGTCATTAATTATAGGACTTGAAAAGATGAGGCCCGCTTAAGGGAAGACAGACAGAGCCACGCAGGCATCGTGTGCTTACTTTCTGAGCCTCCTTCCCCTCAACTTTAATCTTGAAACATTGCCAATGACAGGTTGAAAGAGTAGGTCGTGGACACCATAAACCCTTAGCTGAGATTCCCCTGGATTAACATGTGTCACATTTTGTCATCCTGCACTCCCGCTCGTTTTCTGTCTCTGTGCACACGCATCACACACATGCACATGGACACACGCACATGTTTCTGAAACACTGGAAATCAGTTGCAGTCCCCAGAATACTTCAGCATGTACCTCCTAGGAGTGACATTCTGACACACACACACACACACACACACACACACCCGTTATCATATTCCTAAACTTTAACATAATATTAGCTGATGGACAGTCCGCATCCAGATTTTCCAGTGGTCCGTGCAGTGTCCTCAGAACGTTTCTGTGACCCTTGCAGTGCTCAGCTGTCACGCCTCTACTGTGTCCTTTAGCTAGACACAGCCCCACCCGCCGCTTTCCTTCGTCTGTCTTAGCGTTGGCATTTTAGCATAGGCCGGTTGCCTCTCTTACGGTCCGCGTGCGACTGTTTTCTCACGGTCAGATTCAGTTAAAGGCTGGGGGCATAAATGCTGCGCAGGTGAAGTGGTTCTCTGCCCGCCAGCGCCGATGAATTGTCGTTCTCTCTCCCAGTTGATGTCTGGGTCCTGACGTGATCACGGGTCTCACCGCTTTTTCTTCATGGAAACCGATCCGTTGTGCTCGCGGGTCGGGCTGGCCGTTGCTGGAGAGTGGAGGGCCGGGGGCCTCAGGAACCGGCCCCTGCACTTCCTCCAGTGGGCACTGTTGCACACAGGACTCTGGAAAGGCTGTGTTCAGACCCTAAGGTCTGAGGGTCTCTTCTTCCTCTTCCCACGGTCTCCACCTGGAGGCTCCTGCATCCAGCCCAACTCCCCATCCGTCCCCATCCCCTGCCTGCAGAAAGGAGGAAGGGCAGTCACAGCCGTGCCAGGGGGCAGAGGGGGCCGCTTCCTAGTCACCAGAGCTTCCCCACCCAACGTGCACTTGACCCTCCGGGTCTGTGAGGAGGCGTCCTCTCTCTTACCGGAGCGGAGCCGTGCAGGAACGGGGAGCGGACGCCCCGTGCAGACCCAGCCTCAGCCCCTCCTGGACATCACATGTGGGGCCTCAGCCTGCTACCTGCTCGGCAAACCCAGGGGGAACGTGTCCTCCCGCTGCAGTGGCTCCATTCAGCCCCGCAGAGCCAGTGTGTGAAAAGACAAAGGCCGAGTGATTCCTGAAAACACCTCCCCGCAAAATGGGGGTTTTCGCCTGCCTTCTCCTGTTTAAAGTTGAAGGTCACTTCTGAGTCTTCTGCACTGGCTGAGGCCTCCCCTGCGTCGGCCCAGCCTGTCAGCCCGGCCACCCTTTCTGATCCCCTGCCCCTCCCACCTCACCTTGCTCCTCCTTGGTCTCCCCCTGCCACCCCACCTCCTCTCCCCCCACCAGCTGCCCCGCAGCCCAGCCTCCCACCCCTGCATCCCTTGCTGTTTCCTCTTCACGCCAGCCGTGCCCCAAGCGGCGGGCCTGCCACCTGTGTGCTTTCCCTGGATCCTCAGCCCCAACCTTCAGGCGAGCTGGGGACCCCTCAGTGCTCCACACCACGTCCCTCCTAAGGAAGGCAGTCCCGACTTGCCCACCCACCCAGGCAGGTGCCCTTGGCAGGGACACAGAGAGGAGCATGCTCCCAGCCCAGAGCACGGGAGATCCCTGGGGGCCATCACCAACCCAAGACTCTCCTTCCAGAACACGCACCTGGTCCCAGGGACCTCCTCCCCGGAGGCCCTGGGGAAGATTCGGGGTGCAGGTCCTGGGAGCCTTGGCCCAGCACCCCCGGCTGACCAGGCCCCCTGCCCACAGACTCCTGCCCTGGTGGGTGGGGATGGGCGGAGGGCTTCGCCCTTGGCGTGGGGTCTGGTCTGGGCTCCCCTCCACGTGCAGCAGCGGGCAGAGCCGCTGGGAGTACAGCCTGTTGTCAGGCCAGGTTCGGAATCCAGCTGGCCCACGGTCCCGGGTCGGCTCTTCTCTGTGAAACGGGAAGGCTGCTGTAAGGGGTCACCTGCTTCCGGAGGACAAGGCGGCGGGTGTGGGCGGGGCCACAGCGAGCCACGCCCTCATCTCGTCTCCAGCCCTGACCACCGAGCCGCCGCTGGGGAGGCCGGACGCTCCCCACGACCCGCTCAGCCTCACCCACCGCACTGCCCCCCGACGAGCCAAGCCACGTGGGCCTCAGCCTCCGCTGCGGAAACAGCTAAGGACTGTCCTGTTCCTTTCTTCCCCTCAAAGGATCGTGACAAATTTCCAGGTCCCCCGCCTGCCAGCCTCGTCCATCGCCCCGGCCCCGGTCAGCGCCATCTGGTTTCCCGCCCCTAGGAGTCGGCTGGGTCACCCAGCTGCCTTCTCTCTCTCTGCCAAAGACAAGACCCTCCTGGCCCCATACCTGCTGGGCCTCCCACTTCCCTGCACCCCCAGCCCAGCCCACCCGGTCCCGGGGCGTCTCCCCTGGCCCAGGCTTCAGGTGGGACCCCGGTTCCTGGCGGGCCCAGAGGAGGGGTCTGAATACACAGCACTGCCCAGACTTGCCCCCAAACATGCCCTTTTTAGAGAAATTGCTCATATCCTGACTTTAAATTTCCATTCCCTCTGAAGTGTGATTGAATTTTTAAAATATGTCCCTTCAAGTTAACAGTCTCTCCCAGTTAGAACCAGTGTGTTAGGAGTCCTTCTCTGATTCCCCTCCCCTCTGGGTGGCATCTGGGCATACGGGACATTCCTATTCCCCAGTGATGGGTGGCAGGGCACTCACACGCCACCCCCCCACCTTGTCCCCCTGCCACCTAGTCAAGAAGGCCATCGGGCCCCCGGCCAGGACTCCCAGCCTCTGTCCTCACTGACTCCACTGCAGGGTGTCCAGGACAGTCGGAACTTGGGATCGTCCTCTTGGCTTGGATGAGGCACAGAGGTCTCCCAGGGGGGCTGGCCCTCCAACCCTGCTGTTACTCACCAGGGTTCTTGGCCGCCTCAATCAATAGAAATTGTTAAGAGACCAGACAAGAAATTCAGGCAAGGCTTTACTGGGGCCCCTGCTGCAGCAGGGGACCCCGAGAACACACAAAAGTTTCCCTTGCTCACTTGCTGCCCAAGTGAGGGGCAAGCTAGTTCCTTATATGGGGTGAGGGTAGGGGTGGGTCCAGGGGTCAGGCCGGAGGGGTAGCTGAGGTGGTCTGCCCACCCCTTTGGTGGTGTTGAGTGCAGGGGGCATGCTCAGTACCCTGCTTTTGCTCCTGTCTCTTTAGAAGTGGCAGCTGGGAGTTTTTTGATCTTTTTGTATCTTATTGTCCAGAATTTGCCCCAACTGCACGGGCATGCAGTTATTTTTAGTCCCTTATAGTTTCTTTGTATTTTGTTGCTCGGAGGCATTTGTCTAGGTACAAGCACTACAGCAAAGGGTCCCAGATCCCAGGTCCCAACCTGTCTCACCACCACGGGGAACCCCACACACACCGGCAGGTTCTTAACCTCCCCCCAGACAGGTGCCCCCAGCCCACCAGCCATAGGAGGCCAGCTCTCTGCCTCGGTTAGCCTGCCACTCCGCTGCAGCTGACCCATCCTGCAAACAGCTCCAAGGCCCCAAACAGGCCACATGCGGTCCCTTTTCCTTCTGCTTCCCTCTCAGCCCAGCCACACTGTTTCCAGTGTCTGACCCTGGCCAAGGCCACTGGCAAGGAGCACTGAGACCTTCCCTTCATCTCTGCCTGCGGGGCCCCCTAACCCCGGCCCCCAGCAGCTTCTCCCTCTGAAGGGCCTGTTCTCACTGACCCCATCCTCCCACCCCACTCTGTGGCTCATCGAAACCCTGGGATTTCTCCGTAAAAGGAAGCCTAGGGACTGTGGAAAACACTTCTTTCGCAAACAAAAAGCCAAGCATTCAAGACACAGCCTCTCCAAGACTCAAGAGAGCAGGCCTGGAGCCTTGCAGCTGGGGCTCCACAGGCTGTTTTGTCCTGTGTCACCCTTCCGCAGAAGCTGCAAGGCCGGTATTCAGGCCCCGGGGGCTCCAGACAATATTGTGCGCTGAACAGGTCAGCCTGGTGTTTCCGCAGTGCCGTCGAGGAGGGGGGTGCCTCGCACAGGGTGCTCTAAGGGACTCTGGCCAGAGGGCTTCCTGTGCAGCAGAGGCCGTGTTGTACCGTTCACACATTGTTCTCTAGGAAAGATGTTTAACGCACAGTCTGCCCTCGTGCTTCCAGAGCGCATTGAGAGGTCCTGCACGGGACCTGGCCCGGACTCTCTGCCCATTTCCAGCCGGCACTCCACACAGGAAGTGATTTGTCCACATCAAAGGATTTTAAACCTCTGGCATTGCAGCAGAACCTGCCGGTTGTCCCCTGATACTTGTCCCCCAGTCCTTCCTTAGCAAGAGAGCCTCCGCGGATCAGTGGCCGCACAACCAGCCAGGGTCTAGACCACACTTCCCAGCCCCTCACAATGACACGTGGCTACACCGTGAAACTCTGGCTGACAGAGTCTTAACCACTAGACCACCAGGG